ACACCCAGTCACAATGGCGAGTGTTCCGCCCGGCCGTCAGTCTGCTACAGGCTGGGCGGGAAGATGATAAACAAGCACAGTCAGTGCTCAAGTCCACAGTGGATAATCCATAGAATTCACAAAGCAGGTGGATGGATGGTTCGAAAGGTGGATGAGAAAAACACACTCTGTCTGGCAACTCCTAGCCAGCGGATCTGGGTAATCCCTCATAGCATACAAAGGAAACACAGCAGGGCGCCAGATTAGTGTATGGGTAAAAAGAACACTTTAATGCCATTTCTCACTTACATCTGAAAGACCTTTATGCAGGCCATAGATGGTTCATTTATCGGCCAAATTTTCGGCCGAAAAACGAAACATCGGTCATTCTGTTGCCACCAATAATTATGAAAAAATCAGCCTGTCAGGGATCACCGCCCATGGAGCCGCGATCGCGGCTCCGTCCCACGCGCATGCGCGGTGGCGGCAGATCGCGCCGGGACACAGGCACCAGGGCCCGGCGAGCCGCGGCTGACAGGACGCCGCGCTATGCGCAGTAGGAGCCGCGGGCGCGCCTCAGGCGTCCAATGACAGCCGGGGGCGCGTCCTAGCCGGCCAATGACAGTGCAGGGCGCACTATTTAAAGATGCCCTGCACTGTCACAAGTTGCCGCAAGGTCTTCCTGCGATCCTGAAGTTCCTGTACCTGCCTGAGACCCTGATTGACCCTGACTACGCTGCCTGCCCCTGTGATGCTTGACCCGGATTGACCCTGACTATTCTGCCTGCCCCATGCGTTTTGACCTGGATTGACCCTGACTATTCTGCCTGCTCCTGCGTTTGACCCGGATTGCCCTGACCATTTCTACGGATTGATACCCCCTGCTGACCCTGCGTGTGACCCGACTACTCTTGGCCTACCGATTCTGTACCCCGCTTACCCTCACGGGCTCACGATCAGTTGTTTACCCACCTGCTAGGGCCGTTAGCCACTTCACATCTGGCTCTCCCGGTACCTGTCCCCAAAGGTCTCCTCGGCCACTGGGGGGCCTGCTCGGAGGTCGTGACCTGGCCCGGGACTGTTTTAAGTCCATCCCCATCTTTCATCAGGGGCCCTGGTGAAAGCACAGCCCGGGCTTAGACCCCACGCTCTGAGTAGGTCCGCCAGTTGGCAGCCTGAGGCACCACCGGGGGATCATAACAGTACCTTGCGGCCATGACAGAGCCAGGAAGTGTACCGGCGTCCCTAGAGGATATTTTGTCAGCACCTGGCAACCTTGACCCAAGCTTTCCAGAACTTCCACAGTCGCTGCGGCCCGACTGGAGGACCGCATGGATTCATTAGCTCCCCTGACTCCCCCTGCGCAGAGTCCTCCACCTGCAGAACCTCCCGCTAACCCGGGATCGGAGCGGTTGCCACTCCCCTAGCTCCCGAACCCCGCGTTCCCCTGCCAGAGCGATTCCGTGGTGACCGGAACCGCTTCCGAGCCTTCCGAAGTGCGTTGTACCCTGTACTTTGACTTACAGGCCCCGCACGTTGGTTGTCACCACCGAGTCCCATCAAGGTGGGGTTTATATAGTCTCTCTCCTGTGCAGGATGAGCCCCAGGATTTCTCATGGATGAGCTCATCGTCTGATGGAGGGCACGACCCACTCTTGACTCCGTGACCGAGTTCTTTCGGGCCATACAAATTGACCGTAGACTAAGGGAACGTCGGCTGGAAAGGAGCAGCCAGAGTCAAAGGGTGGCATGGATTCCGTCCAGAGATACAGCTCCAACCCCAGGGAACCATCCGCGAAGCACGGAAACAGGGGACAACCCGGAACCCATGCAACTGGGATTGGCCCGTTCCCACTTATCGGTCGAGGAACGTCAGAGGAGACTATCACGGAACCTATGTCTGTACTGCGGGGAAGCTGGTCATCAGGTGCGCTCGTGTCCTGCTAAAATGAGTAAAGTCCGATACGGCCCGTTTCTCTTACTTTACCGGCAGGAAGGGATGATCAGTCGAGTTACCTGGCCATTCCTGTGTCTTTGCAGCTCCCCGGAGGAACATTGGTCGGTGACCGCAATCGTTGACTCAGGAGCCTGTAGTTGCTTCATCGACCTGACCTTTGCCCTACCGCAAAAGATCCCACTCCAGAACCAAAGAAAGGGGGGTTCAACATCTTCTTGGCAGATGGGTCCCGTATAAAATCAGGGTGGTGGACCAGGAGACACCACCCATTTTCAAACCACAATGGCAGACCATCACCAGGAGTTCCTCCGCCTGGATGCCATCGCATCCCCCCTTTTTCATTCCAGTCATTCTGGGGCTCCCTTGGCTGAGGGCCCATAACCCCCAGATTGACTGGGAAAGGGGGACAATTCAATTTCGCTCCCCTTATTGTTTGAGTCACTGCACGTCACAGGACCCATGGTGCCCCCCCGGTTTCCTCCTGTGCTTGGATGGCGACACCAATCTATCCAGGTTATTCCCTCCCGGCCTACCACGACTTCTTAGACGTCTTTAGTAAGCGAGGAGCAGATGTATCTCCCTCCGCACCGTTTCCTACGACTGCCCCATAGACCTCCTACCCGGATCTGAAATCTCATTCGGCCGTATCTTCCCCTTGTCCGAAACAGAATCGGGTGTGCTGAGGGTGTCAGGGCTCCCAGGTATGACCAGAGATGTGTGACTGATGCAGGGAAACGCAGACTTCAGAAATGTGATAAACAATATAATTTATTAACACTAACCATACAAACATAAACGCAGGGCTATACTAAACATAATACAGTGCAAACAAACCAAACCAACCACCCACAGATAACAGTACAATACAAGCAAAGCGTCGTCAGGCAGGCCGGGTCAATATCAATTGGGCAGGTAGGTACGGGGGGAGCAAGCAGAGAATGGTCGGGTCACAGGCCAGGTTCAGCAGGTAGCAAGCAGCGAGGTACTCAGAGGGTCAGACAGAGGGGTGGTCAGGGTCACAAGCCAGGATCAGAGCAGGAGAAGTCAGCAGCAGTTCAGATCAGGGTCAGCAAAGGAAAGCAGAAACAGGATGCAGGATCAGATACAGGGCCCAGGACAAACACAACACCAAGGCAGAGTCTGCAAGTCCTGGCCATCCCTTAAATACCCCAGTATCATCAGTTCCAGGTGTTAGCTTGTCTTGAAAGGTTGAGTCTCCTGATTGCTGGGAGCACCCGCTGGCCAGCCCCCCTGGTACTGCAGATCAAAAGGCAGGTGAGTCCCACCATTGCTGGCCAGTCCAATTCCTAACAGTACCCCCCCTCAAGGAGCGGCCTCAGGACGCTCCAAACAGTCCTAGCTGGGCAAAATGTTTCCCCCCGCCCGGGTTGGCAACTGGCGGATAGCAAAGACACCGGGGCAGGCTCCGGGCCCACACGGGCAGGGACTCCGGGCAGAGGCGGCACACCGGGCTGGACTCCGGGCAGAGGGCACATCGAGCAGAGGCACTCCGGGCAGAGGCACACCGGGCAGAGCACAATCGGGCAGGACTCCGGGCAGAGGCACATCGGGCAGAGGCACAAATCGGGCAGAGCACATCGGGCAGAGGCACACCGGGCAGATGCACATCGGGCAGAGGCACATCGGGCACGAGGCACATCGGCAGAGGCACATCGGCAGGAACTCCGGGCAAGAGGCACATACGGGCAGAGGCACATCGGGCAGGACTCCGGCAGAGGCACATCGGGCAGGACTCCCGGGCAGAGAGCACATCGGATATACCAGGGCTAAGCACAGGCAGCCGGGCCCCCGGGCGGGGCGACAGGCAGCACGGGTCCCCCGGGCGGAGCAGCAGGCACCGGGCCCCCGGGCGAGCAGCAGGCACCGGAGCCCCCCGGCAGCGGACAGCAGCAGCGCACCGGGAGCCCCCGGGCGTAGCAGCAGGCACCGGGCCCCCGGGCGGGGCGACAGGCATCGGTGCCCCCAGGCGGGGGGCGACAGGCATCGTGCCCCCAGGCGGGGCGACAAGGCATCGTGCCCCCCAGAGTGGGCGACAGGCAAAAGTACGTGCGCCCCAGGCGGGGCAGACAGGCATCCGTGCCCCCAGGCGGAGCGGCGGCGCCGGACCCCAGGGCGGAGCGAACAGTCTCGGCCCTCAGGCGTAGTGGCGGGCGCCGGACCCCCAGGAGCGGAGCGACAGGATCTCGGGCCCATCCAGGTCGGACAGCGGCGGGCGCCGGACCCCCAGGAGGAGCGACAGGTCTCGGGGCCCTCAGGCGGAGCGGCGGGCGCCGGAACCACCCAGGTGGAGCGACAGGTCTCTCGGGCCCTCAGGCGGAGCGGCTGGGCGCCGGACCCCCAGGCTAAGGTAGCGACAGGTCTCGGGCCATAGGCGGAGCGGCGTGGGCGCCGGACCCCCCAGGAGGAGCGACAGGTCTCGGGCCCTCAGGCGGAGCGGCCCGGGGCGCCGGACCCCCAGATGGAGCGACAGAGTCCTCGGCCCTCCAGGCGGAGCGGCGGGCGCCGGACCCCCAGGTGAGAGCGACAGGTCCGGGCCCTCAGGCGGAGCGGCGGGCGCCGGACCCCCAGTGTGGAGGAGCGACAGGTCTCGGGCCTCAGGCGGGATCGGCGGGCGCCGGACCCCCAGGCTGGAGCGACAGGTCTCGGGCCCATAGCGGGGCGGCGGGCGCGGAACCCCCCAGGAGGAGCGACAGGTTCCTCGGGACCTCAGGCGAGCGGCGGGCGCCGGACCCCCAGATGGAGCGACAGGTTCTTGGCCCTCAGGCGGAGCGGCGGGCGCGCCGGACCCCCCAGGTGGAGCGACAGGGTCTCGGGCCCTCAGGCGGAGCGGCGGGCGCCGGACCCCCCAGATGAGCGACAGGTCTCTCGGGCCCTCAGGGCGGAGCGACAGGTCTCAGCCCCCCTGAGCGGGGCGGCGGGCGCCGGATCCCAGGCGGGGCGGCGGGCGCCGCAGATCACCCCAGGCTGGAGCGGCGGGCGCTGGACCCCAAGCGGAGCAACAGGTCTCGGGCCCCCAGGCGGAGCGGCGGGCACCGAGTCACCATGGCACGACAGTGGGGCTCCGAGTCAACTGGTATGACCGCAGGCACTGGGTCAGACATTGTATGGTCTGGTCTTGGACAGCGGCATCGGGATCACCAGGCCATCAGGTCATTTGGCCGGCTCGACAGCCGGGCAACCGCGTCATCTGGCAAGGCAGTGTGGCTCCGAGTCAACTGGTATGACCGCGGGCACTGGTCAGACATTGGATCGTCTGACCGGACAGCGGAGATCGGGTCACCACCACATCAGGTCATTTGCGCTCGACCCGCTCGGGCACCGCGTCATCTGGCAATGCAGTGGCTCCGAGTCAACTGGTACTGACCTGCAGGCACTGGGTCAGACATGTATGGTCAGGCTGGACAGTGGGCATCGGGTCACCAGGCATCAGGTCATTTTGGCTCGACAGCGGCACCGCGTCATCTGGCAAGGCAGTGGGCTCCAAGTCAACTGGTATGACCGCGGGCACTGGGTCAGACCATTGGATCTCTGACCTGACACAGCGGGCACTGGGTCACCAAGGGTCATCAGGACATTTGGCTCGACAGCGGGCACCGCGTCATCCGGCAAGGCAGTGGCTCCGAGTCAAAACTGGTATGACCGCGGGCACAATGGGTCAGACATTGGATCGTTTCTGACTGGACAGCGGGCACTGGGTCACCAGGCATCAGGTCATTTGGCTCGACAGCGGGCACCCGCGTTCATCTGGCAAGGCAGTGGATGCTCCGAGTCAACAGGCACGACAGTGAGCACCGGGGGAAGTCAGGTACCGGATTGTCTGGCTCGACAGCGGGCATCGGGTCACCAGGTATGATGAACAGCGGGCACTGGGTCACCAGGCATCAGGTCATTTGGCCTTGTCAGCGGGGGCACCCGCGTCATCTGGCAAGGCAGTGGGCACCGCGGGTCACCAGGCATTGGATCGTCTGGCTCGACAGCGGGCATCTGGGTCACCAGGTATGACAGCGGGGCACTGGGTCACCAGGCAATCACGGTCATTTGTGGGCTTGCCAGCGGGCACCGCGTCATCTGGCAAGGCAAGTGGGCACCAGGGTCACCAGATATGACAGCGGGCTCTGAGTCACATTGGCACGAACAGCGGGCACTGGATCAGGTACCGGATCATCTGGATCAACAGCGGGCATCCGAGTCAACTGGCCTAATAGGATCGTCGGGCTGTGATCAGTTCATCATGCGTGAGTAGACGGCATCAGGCTGAATGCAGGCATCAGGCTGAAGAGAGGCTTCAGGCTGAAGAGAAGGCAATCCGGCATGAAGAGAGGCATCCGGCTTGGAAGAGAAGGGCATCCGGCTGAAGAGAGGCATCCGGCCTGAAGAGAGGCATCTTCTCGGCTGAAGAGAGGCATCCGGCTGAAGAGAGGCATCCGGCTGAAGAGAGGCATCCGGCCGAAGTAGAGGCTTCAGGCTGAGTAGAGGCGCTTCAGGCGCGAGTCACGGAAGGCAGGCTCACACTGGTTTGGATACTGGCAGGATGGTATTGGTTGGAAAGAATTCTTCGGCTTTTTTTCTGTTTTAACTACTGGAGCACTGCAAGTAAACGCAGGTCTGCAAACGAATGGGAGCAGCTTGGAGACAGAGAAAAACTGGAGGATGGAACAGGAGAGGGAGCAGTTGCTACAGAGGGCTCTTTTACAGGGTTAAAGGCAGGATAGGTGCAGCGAGTGGGGAACAGGGTACTGACATGCGGTAGATAGCAGGGCAGGAGGAGCTGGTGGGAATACAGGAGGTAGAGTAGAAGCAGGACTGGGTCCTTTGTAAGCTGACTGAGCTGGGTGCAACAAATCTGTCCATGTCTGCAGTAGGGGTTGAACAAAGATGAGCTTACACAAAGTCTGTCTGGTCAATGACTGCACTGCGTTGATACAATCTCTTAGTGTCTGTGGTGAACATGTGGAGTATACGCTCCAAAAGTGTAACCCACATCATCCTCTAATAACCCACACAGGGACTCTAACCTGGTCTTGCACTAAATGGTGGCAAAAATTCATCCCTGCATTACGGGGGAACCAGATGAAACCAACTCTGCACAAACCTCAATCAATGGCTGCACCGTCAGAGAACACTGTGCCCTGATCTACTAGAACATGAGCGAGCCGTATACATTCTAGCAATTCATCCCGGGTATACTCCTTCAGAGTTTTGATAAGCATACACCCTGTTCATCAAACACTAGCAGATATAAATACTCCAAAAACCTCATCAAGATCCATCCTTCCCATCAACAAGCCAAGATGGCTTCCCTTTGCAGCCACTTCTGGTCAGGAAATTGGCCTTGGGTGTAATTGTCAGGGCCTCCCAGGTATGACCAGAGATGTGTGACTGATGCAGGGAAACGCAGACTTCAGAAATGTGATAAACAATATAATTTATTAACACTAACCATGACAAACATAAACGCAGGGCAATACATAAACATAATACAGTGCAAACAAACCTAAACCAACCACCCACAGATAACATACATACACAACAGAGCCAAGCGTCGTCAGGCAGGCCGGTCCAATATCAATTGGGCAGGTAGGTAACGGGGGGAGCAAGCAGAGAATGGTCGGGGTCACAGGCCAGGTTCAGCAGGTACGCAAGCAGCGAGGTACAGAGGGTCAGACAGAGGGTGGTCAGGGTCACAAGCCAGGATCATTAGCAGGAGAAGTCAGCAGCAGTTCAGATTCAGGGTCAGCAAAGGAACAGAAACAGGATGCAGGACAGATACAGGGCCCCAGGACAACACAACACCCAAGGCAGAGTCCCTGCAAGTCTGGCCATCCCTTAAATACCCCATGTATCATCAGTTACCAGTGTTTAGCAGGCTGAAAGGTTGAGTCTATGATTGCTGGAGCACCCGCTGGCCAGGCCCTGGTAACTGCCAGATCAAAAGGACATGTGAGTCCCACCAAATTCTGGCCAGTCCATTCCTAACAGGGGATTATATTGACGAAAACCTACGGAAGGGATTTTTTATATCGTCCATACCACATCCCCAGCCGGGGGGCCGGATTATCTTTCCTTCGTAGAGTAAGAAAGACAAATCGTTACGTGCCTGCATTGACTACCGTGACATGAACAAAAATAACAGTAAAAAATCGTATCCTTTGCCCCTAGTCCCCGAGCTCCTCCAGAGATTGAGATCCGCAACGATATTTACTAAAATTAGGACCTGCGGGGGGCCTATAACCTAGTAGCGATATCAGGGAAGGGGAATGAGTGGAAGACGGCATTCCGTAACGAGATTATCAGGCCACATATGAAAATTTGGTGATGCCGTTCGGGCTCTGTAATGCTCCGGCGAACCTTTCAGCACTTTATCAACGATGTTTTTCGTGATTTTCTCGACATTTTTCGTGTGGGTCTACTTGGATGTGACCATCCTAATTTTTTTTCCCCCTCAACGGGAAGGTTCATCGGGGTTCACGTAATACGGGTAAAAAAAAAAACTAGAACGGTTGCGTCTACACGGGCTATACGCGAAGGGCAGATAAAAATGCTGTTTTGACCACAGCACGAGATAACGTTCTTGGGACTGGTTCTCTCTTCCGGCGGGGGTCGCGATGGATTTCCCCCAGAAGGTCACGGCGATCTTGGATTGGCCAATACCCGCCGACAAAAAAGGGGTACAGCGCTTCATTGGGTTCTCTAACTTTTTTACAGGAAGTTTATTAGGAACTTTCTCCGGTCCCTGGTCTCCCCAATCACACAACTGACGAAACTAGGGGTCCCGCTTTAAAAGTGGACTCCCGAAGCGCAGACGGGCATTTGAAAGACTCAAAGAATTGTTCACCTCTGCTCCCATTTCTCTGCCATCCAGATTCCTTGCCCTCCCATATGTGATTTGGGGGAAGTGGACGCCTCCGAAAATGCGGTAGGAGCGGTTTTATCCCAAAGGAATGGCTACCAAGGAACTACATGCACCCCGTGGCGTTCTTCTCCAGGAAGTTGACACCAGCGGAACGTAACTATGACATTGGAGATCGGGAGCTTCTGGCCATAAAGAAAAAAACTGCTCTTGAGAATGGAGGTATTTATTGGAGGGAGCCACGCACCCCAATTCTAATATTCACAGATCAACAAAAACCTTGAATATTAAGAACGGCGAAACGACTGAGACCTCGCCAAGCAAGATGGGCCCTTATCTTTTCTTCTCGATTCTCATTCCATATAAACGGTACCGAACCCGGGTCTAAAGAAGCACTAAAACCAGACGCAATCTGTCCCGCATGTTCGAGGACCCCGACGACGCTGTGCTGCCGGACACATCTTGCCTTCTGGGAGTTTCCCTCGCTCTACAAAAACGGAACTTCGGCTCCCCGGCTTCTCTCGATGCTTCCGTAGGATTACCAGTTCCGTCTGGGTCACCCCTCCAGAGCCAGGGGGGGGCTGTTTTGGAAGGAAAAACCGGATCATGGTCCCAAGAAGAAGTGCGAACCTTGGTCCGGGGCACTGCCACGACCATCCCATGGCGGGCCACTTCGGACAGATTTCCTATAGGTAAACGAAAACTCTGGATCTATTACGGCGCTCGTTCTGGTGGCCAAGACATGATCAAGGATTGTGGGAGCATTACGATCCGAACTTGTCCCACCTGTCAAAGGAACAAGCCCTCCAGAACTAGGGCATGGGGACTGTTACGTCCATTGCCCATACCCAAGCGGTCCTGGCAGATGATAGCCATGGATTTCGTGGTCGAACTTCCACCATCCCAGGGCTATTCTACTGCAATAATGGTGGTCGTCGACCGCTTTTCAAAGATGGCACATTTCGTTCCCTTGGAGAAGACCCCATCAGCACCAGAAAACGGCACGGATCTTCATCAAAGGAAGTGGTGTGAGGCTTCATGGGGTTCCCGTAAGATATAGTGTCCGATCGGGGGGTCCAATTCACCTCCAGATTCTGGAAAGCCTTATGTAAATCGCTGGGAATCAAGCTATCGCTTTCATCCGCCTACCATCCACAGACCAACGGCCAAACTGAGAGGACCAACCAGACGATGGAACAATACTTGCGGTGCTACAAAACACGCTCTTACCTCCAGGATGACTGGCTGTCGTTGCTGCCTTCCGCGGAATTCTCGTACAATAACTCGAGTCATTCAGCTACGGGTCAATCCCCGTTCTATGCCAATTACGGGTATCAATCCCACATTCCTCCCTGACCTTATGCCTGAGAATATCCGGTACCGGCATCTCAAGACATCTTGGAATTCCTTTCAGTCAATAACAAGACAAATTCAGGAAGCATCGCTAAAAGCCCAAGAGGACAGTAAACGAGCATCCTCGATGGTAAGAGAAGAGTGAGAATTACTGCTTCGACCAGGAGATCGGGTTTTGGCTAGCAACAACCAATTTGAAGATGCTGTGCCCTTCAAGGAAGCTGGGACCCAAGTAACATTGGCCCGATTCCTGTAAAACGAGTCATCAACAGGGTGGCCTACGAGCTCGAGCTTCCGCAGACACTCAGGATACATCCTGTGTTCCATGTGTCCCCTCCTGAAGCCATCTAGACCGATCCCTTCCCGTACCGTGAATCTAGACCTCCCGAGGCAGTCACCATAGGTGACCAGGAGGAATATGAAGTGGAGACTGTCCTCAGTTGCCGAAGGAGGGGAGGCCAGACGCAGTTCCTGATAAAATGGAAGGGGTAATGGTCCTGAGGAGAACTCATGGGAACCCAAGCCCGGAACGTTCACGCGCCCAGGGCACATCCGGGAGTTTTTTTCGTGCTCACCCCGCGGATGGAGAGATCAGTGGGGGCTTCCCGAGGGTGCCCATTGGGGGGGGGCAATGTCAGGGATCACGGCCCATGGAGCCGCGATCGCGGCTCCGTTCCCTCCGCGCATGCGCGGTGGCGGCAGAATCGCGCCGGGACCACTCAGGCAACCAGGGCCCGGCGAGCCGCGGCTGACAGGACGCCGCGCATGCGCAGTATGAGCC